AGTCCGTGGCAGGAACGCGGGGTTCCACGCTGGAAGACAGGAGCAGGTGATAGTGCGCGTCCCTGAGGGGTTGCGGGCATCCGTGGAGTGGATCTTTTCCTGTGCTTGGGGAGTCAGCGATGGCTGGGAGAGGGTTTCTTGCGGTTTGTGGAGAGGAGTCCCTGGTGGGCGATGTGGGGCCTCATGTGCGCCCTGTGTGGGAAGGGGTCTGTTGGGGAAAGGTTGGGCTTTCAACGGGTGTCCTTAGGGAGCTCCAAAAGGCTCTCAGTTATGTGAGCAAAAAATGGAATCGTAGAGTGTGTCTGGTGTGTGTAGGAAGCAGAATGGTGAGTTTTGGAAGGTTTGTTAACTAGAGGTGCCGTGAGCTTGTGAAGGGCTCAAACGTGGTTGGTGGGCACGGGTTGTAGAAGAGTGGGCAAGTATCGGGCCAAGGGAAGTCTGCTCTTTGCAGGTGATTGATGGTGGTCAGGGTAGGTGACTTTCGGCCAGTGGCGGGTGGAGATGTGTTTTGGTCTCTGTGTAAGAGGGTTTTAAACGTAAGAGAGTGATTAAGATGAACTGGGTCCCTGGTAGGGGAGGACAGTCAATCTTTGAGAGTCATTGTGATCTGTTTGGGGAGAGAAGAATATGAATAGCTTCGGTCTGAGGGTAAGGTTGAGTTCCTAAAGAAACTAGGAACCTCCTTTAGGACCCTCCTAAAAGAGGGTCTGTGGTCATCAAAACTTACTGGGTCAGGTCCCAGCATACAGTATGTGACGAAGGGAGTAGTGGGGAGCAGGGGAGCTGGAGCTGTGAGAGGTGGTGTCAGGAGGCAATGGAAGAAATATTTTGCCCGTGGACAAAAAACGTGAAAGGCAGTAGTCACTGGTGGCTCACTGGACTGATAGGTAGCAGTAGGCTGATAGTAGCTTTTAGTGACAGTTGTTATTCCCCCCACCCCCTCCAGTGGCCTAGTCTTTCTAGCTAAAGTCAGTGCCTACTGAGGTCTGTTGCTAAAAGGAGGAAGAGGGTTAAGTGGAAGTTGTCTTTGTTTATTTTTTAATTTTGAGATGTATTTAATACTTAGGTTAAAAGGCAGGTTACAGGAACGTTTTATGTGCTGTTTCAGTAGCTCATTTAGAAATAATCTGTATATTATTTTGCATCTGGTGAAGGGAAATGCCAAGATAAAGTGCTTGTTAAAAGATAAGATTTGCCAAAGCAGTGTACCAGCTTAATCTTAAAAATACAATAGCCTTGCTACTTTCAATAGAACTGCTCAAGTAAAGCAAACGTGTAAGAACTGGCAGGTTCAGTTGTAACTCTTAGTTTAACTGTAAATGCTGTTATAGATTTAAATGGAACAATACGAATCTTACTTTTATTTACTTCTGGGTTTCATTTAGTTTAGAGGTAGAGAGAGATCTGCAGATTGAGTTGGCAGAGCATCAGTGAGTATGGAAGAAGAATGCTGCTTGTGTCTAATGAAGATCTAGTTGGTTTTGTTTTCCATCTCTAGCTGCTATATTTGTTTTGGAAACCCTCTAAGGAGATACTTGTTATTTTACTAAATAATATTTTAGGGAACTGCAAGAAATACTGCTCAAACATAAGAAAAAAAAGTTTTAATGCTGAGGATCGTCAAGTACTGGGATAGGCTGCCCAGAGACATTGCCAGTTTTCTGTCTCCGGATATACTCAAAAGCTGACTGGCCCTTGGCAGCCTGCGTTGGCGGATCCTGCTTTATTCAGGAGCACTGAGCAGATGATCTCCAGAGATCCCTTCCAGCCTCGCTGTTCTATATTTCTGTAACTAGTAGTTGAGAGCTTTTCAGATTGCATTGACTTGGGTATAAATACTCTTTGTACATGTCTGTCTCTCTTGTAATACACAGGAAAGCTCTTCAAATGGGCCTTTACAAACCTTCGCTTGGAATCACTGTTCAGTTCCATAGGATTTGTAAGACCTCTATGTAAGCTCTTACAGGGCTTATCTTCAAGGTGTTGCTGCCCTCGACTTTAACTAGCTTTGAATGTTGATATAGTAAGAACGATTTGGTTGGTATGAAGTGAACTGGTGCTACACATACACAGTCTCAGTTGCTTGTTAAAGTCTAACCCAGATCATTTTTGTTAGTACAGGGAGAGATCAAAAAAGCAGAGACTGAACCCGCATGAAGATTTTTTTCCAAAGAGCGTGATAAGGTACAGTGCTTCCATTTATAGAGCAGTGGATTTTTTTTCTCATCAACTGCTGTTTGCAGTGCTAATCCTAATGGTGTCTTTTAAGACTTAGTGTTTGACCAGTATTTTCTAAAATCTTTGGAGTTATGTCGGTACTGTGTTGGATATCGTGTTGCCATGACTGATCAATACGTTTAAAACTCTAAATTGATAGTGTGGATGTGTGTTTGCTGGGTTTTTTAAATAGTGTTCTTTAATATTCAGGAAGAACTTAAAGAAGGTGGGAGTCTATATGCTTTGGCCACCATGTCTGGAATTGGTAATAAACGGGCAGCTGGAGAGCCTGGCCCTTCTGCACCTCCAGAGAAGAAGGTGGGAGTTGAAGATTCAGGGACCACAGTGGAGACGATTAAGCTTGGTGGCGTTTCTTCAACGGTATGTCTTCCTTGCACAACCCCAGTCAACTTCTTGCTTTTTTTAAATCTGGAAACATAAATATCTCTCTGCCTTCTGTATAAGCCCAGTGATCTGGCTTGTGTGGAATGTGCCCTGGCTTATGCTTCTGCACAGGAGGAGATGGACATCCGGACCCTGCAGAGCAAGAACAGGAAACTAGCAGAGATGCTGGACCAGCGGCAAGCCATTGAAGATGAGTTACGGGAGCACATTGAGAAGCTGGAGCGTCGGCAGGCCACTGATGATGCTTCTTTGCTGATTATCAATCGATACTGGAATCAGGTTAGTAATACACTTTGTGGTTTTATTTGCATTGTTCTTCTTCTGTTTCCCTGCACTCTTTTTATTCACATCCATTCTTTTTCTTGTCTTGCCTGTCCCATCATTCAGTTTGATGAAAATATCCGCATCATCCTTAAACGCTTTGACCTGGACCAAGGTCTTGGAGACCTTTTGTCTGAAAGAAAAGCACTGGTTGTACCAGAGCCTGAACCAGACTCGGACAGTAATCAGGAGCGCAAAGATGAGAGGGAACGAGGTGAGACACCTGGCTGGGGACAGTGGGAAAGATGGATTTCAGCTGTGGAAAATGTTCATGTCCCATTCTAAAGGGTGGCAGAGGCTCTCTGTTTGTGAAGACTAATGACATGTTACATGCCAGAGCACATTTACTTTTTACGTCTCTTTCTATTCCCAGGTGAAGGACTGGAGCCGGCATTCTCCTTCCTAGCCACTCTAGCCAGCAGCACTAGTGAGGAGATAGAATCTCAGCTGCAGGAGCGTGTAGAGTCCTCCCGCCGTGCTGTTGCCCAGATTGTGACAATGTACGACAAGCTGCAGGAGAAAGTGGATGTTCTGACCCACAAGCTGAATAGTGGAGGTATGATCAAGGTGGCTGATACTCAGGGATGCTCATCTACCCCCAGCTTAGACATGATTCTGCATTGAAAGTGTTAAGGCCTAGTCCTTCTTGTGCTCCTTTGTTTTCCAAAATAAATTGGCTTACCTTTCCAAACTCTCAATAGCCAAAACATCTAATAAAGACGAGTACTACATGCCAGAAGTGTATTACAACTGCGTTTAAATTTGAATGCTAAGAACTCTGCCCAGTGTGTTTGGCTAAGGGCTTGTTTCTGCCAGTATTGTGTTCAGGCACCTGAGCAGTTACATATTATAGTTGAACCTTACCACCCGGCTGTCCTCAGCCACTGTGTAAAAGACTTAATGCTTACAAGTGAAGAAGTGAAATCAGTATTGCAAACTGACATTGGACTCCGTGCAGTTTAGTAAAAGGTGTAGGAATCACCAGCTTCTCGGTTTCCACTGAGTTTTGCGCAAAATGGTAGCTACTTACTCCCTTGATACACTTAGTGTAGCTGTCTGTGTTGAACTCAAAGCAGAATTCTGCAAAAGAAGGCCAAATGACTAGCTTCTGAAAATTAATGTAGTGGATTCTATTTACACTCAGATGACTGTTTGAAAAACTTCATTATCTTAAGGTTGCAATTTAATCTTTTGAATTGAAATTTAGGTGGAATATCAACTCATCCTTGGTTTGCCTTCTGTCCTGAGTGCTCTGTATGCTCTGATCAAGATACTGTGGCAAGTCTAGCATTGGTGTAGCAAAACATTACTGTCCTTAGTTAGCAGTCTACTCCTCTGTAGTAGCATTGGCATTAGTGCAGTGTGAGCCTTTACTCGGTTGCTGTACTTGTCATCTGGTGTGTTAACTCAAGCCACCTGTTGTAGAAGCTTTATGCATGAATTTGATCTGCGTTAGAGTGTCACTGGGTTACAAAGGCATGTTCTGGATTGCTGATACTGACACAATTGGAGTGATCTCTGACATGAGAGGATGGTAACTGACAATTAGAAATGTGTAGTATCTTAACTGCAGACAGTCTTTTGTTTAGTGAATGCAAGTCAAAGCTCAGTGTGGCTCGAGATCAGACCCTCAGGAACCACCTGCTGGAGAGATACAGTATGCAGATGTTAAAACCAGAAATTTTTTTTCCTGTTTTCTTTTTTCTCTCTTTGCTGTTTAAGAATGAAAAACAATCTTCCTTGATTTCAGTTCATTTATTTTTCTTTACGCATCTTTCAGATATTTCATTGATGGAAGAAGCAGTCCTGGAGCTTAATACCTACCTCTCACATGAAAATGGACGGCTGCAGGAGTTGGCTGATGTTCTTCAGGAGAAGCACCGAATCATGTCTCAGGAGGTATAAAAAGGAGAAAGAAATAAATCTGCCTTGGGGTCCTGCTTAGAATAATTTGTGGTTGCCATAGTTTGGAAAGCAGGTTATTTTCTTGGAGAGGGACAGGAGCAACACAGTTTGAAAGTTGCCTTCTGAACAATGGTTGTGGAAAGGGTTGTTGTTGTGGAGAACCATACATAGATTTTCTGTGTAATTTGGATTGGTTTGCTTGTTACAACTTTGAAGGAAATAGTAAAACTAAACGAGTGTGTCGAATAGATTTAATGTAAAAAGACAACAAGAGTAGAGGAAGTGGTAAGGTGGTCCTAAGGTGGTTGTGTAAACATCTGAGATGCTTGACGTGACATTCCTGTAATTTCAAATTCCTTGGTTCCTCTGGGTTGTTTATGAAAGTGTAACAACATTAATTACAAGATGATCCCAGTAATTAAGAGACTCATGTTATCGGCAGTATTTGTTTCAGAGGTTTCAATTTCTTTAAAAACTGTGTTAATGCTGGCCTTGCTCAGTGTTAGACCGCCAAGCGCTTCAGTGGTTTGTAGAGTAGATGAATATATGGATTGAAAAGATTTAAAAAAAAAAAAAAAAAAAGCCTTTGCATAAGCTGAAGTGGCTGCCTCTGTACTCTGCCAGATATTACCAGCTTCTTGCTCTTTCTCCATTTTCAGTTTTGTCTTATTTTCTTTACTGCGTTGGGATTCAGCCAGTGTAAAATTCAGGACAGTTCATTGAGTAGACTGTCACCACAGCAGAAGATGGTGGAAAGCACATGAATCTGGGATAAGATGAACAAGAGGAAAAATTAATACTGAGCAGTCTGAGAAAATGCTGATTCTGTTCAATATGCAACACTCTTTTGATTGCAGTTCTCCAAGCTGCAAGAAAGAGTTGAGACAGCAGAATCTCGGGTGTCTGTTCTGGAAACTATGATTGATGATCTTCAGTGGGATATTGACAAGATACGCAAGAGGGAGCAGAGGCTCAACCGGCATTTGGCAGATGTTCTGGAACGTGTAAGCACCATCCTCTTTCCCAGGAAACCAGAGAAATGGGTGTAGTTTTGAGATGTGTGACATCATCTTATGGTGCTTTGCTGTGGGAAGTGAGAATCCGTAGTGTACCATCTTTGGTCTTGAGTATGCTGTATCAGCAGTCTTGTCATTTAATTGGATGTCAATGAAATCTCTGGCCTTTTTTGCAGGTAAATTCCAAAGGCTACAAGGTGTATGGAGCTGGGAGCAGCCTCTATGGGGGCACGATCACCATTAATGCCCGCAAGGTAATGTTGGGGCTTGGCTGTGGGCAAGGGGGAGAATACTGTTACCATGTAAACAGTTACTTAATTAGTACCCTCAATAGATCCATTATCAGTGGGATTTACAAGCAGTTTATCCCCAACAGTTTGAGGAGATGAACGCGGAGCTGGAGGAGAATAAAGAGCTTGCTGGGAATCGCCTCAATGAGTTGGAGGAACTACGCCAGGATCTTGAGGAGGTAACAACACAAAATGAAAAACTCAAGGTGAGATATCTGTACCTATTGGAGGATGAAGGTGTTCTGTGTGCTTGGTTGCCGTCTGACTTGCTGTACTGTGTCTTTGGAAAACCTCATTAATGCTGTCCTGTTCTGTGCTTGCTCTTTAGCTCGGTTATATAATGTACAAAGTACAGTTTAGAAAGTCTGTGTGACTTACACTTGCAGCTCAGTGCGTTGGTGACACCATGCGGTCATCATTGGAGATTGTAATGGTTTCTTATTTCCTGTTCTCCATTCTGATCTATTGAGTACATTTTAATGTACATTTAAAACTAATTTCACCTCTCTACAAGTATTGACCTCTTACACCTTCCCCTCACACTGTGCAAGTGGGACTAGAGAACTGAAAAAATCATGGAACTTGTATGGGAGAGCTAGGCTGTTGAAAGAGAAAAATATATATGTATATATATTTCCCAGTGTATATGAGTTATTTCCCAGTGTGGTAGAATACACAGCATGTGAGTTTCTTATGACTTAAAGGTGGTAAGACAAAAAGCTGTGAGTCTATAGTAGATAAGTATATGATACAGATGATAATCTAAATTTTGTCTTAGTGACGAATAGATCTGTTAGCCTGTTATAAGAAATGTCTGAGCTGATAACCCAAGTTTCAGAGATGAGATTCCAGAATCTTGAGACACCTCTAAATTCTGTTTATCCACATGAGTTTGTTCTGAGAGAAACACCACTTGGCTTACAATTTTCTTTTTCTCTTAATTAGTGTTAAGCTATATGTGCGTATATATGTGTCTATTTCAATGCTGGTAGTCACAACTTTTTTTGGTAAGGAAAATTCAGATTCTATACTTCGGCTTTCTCTCATTTCTCTTCCTTTCAGTCATTATGTGTCTTACTGGTAGAAAGCTAATATAACGCTTGCTTGCACATGTATTTTCTCTAGTTTTCTATCATACTTTTCTATGTGTCTGTCTTTTATTGATTTAGGTGATTATGTTTTTACAAACATATAATGTTTTATATCATGTTTTCCAAGCTCGTATCTTTGAGAGAAACTATTGCAGGTTCTGAGAATCAAAAATTGTCATGTGACTATGCCAGAGAAACAGCCTGGTGCATACAGAGAAAGCACAGACTTTTAAAATTGATACTGAAGCATATCTCTTGCATCCACTTCACAGCAACGCTGTTAAAGTTTGATTTTTGTCTTGTGGCAGCTTGATTCACTGTTCTCGTGCCTTGGAAAATAGATATGAAAGACGAGATGTTTTTTCTTTCTGTGGTGTTTTGTTGCGTGCTGACTAGGTTGAGCTGAGACGAGCAGTGGAAGAGGCTGTGAAGGAGACCCCAGAATATCGCTGCATGCAGTCCCAGTTTTCTGTTTTGTATAATGAGAGTCTCCAGCTGAAGGCACACCTTGATGAGGCCCGCACTCTGCTTCATGGCACCCGCACCACACACCAGCGCCAGGTGGAACTAATTGAGGTAACACCACTGCTCCATCATGCCTGGAAACACTGACATCCTATTGACCATCACTGCTGGGTCTGGGTTGCTCTGGGAATGCTCAGGAAGTTTATCTTTCTGGCAATAATTAATCTGTACTGGTACTTCATGTTGATGAGGTGAGAGCTATGCCAGAGTCGCAGCACCAAGTCCTGTCCCCTTCTCGCTCCTCAGAGGGACGAGGTCAGCCTTCACAAGAAACTACGCACAGAGGTGATTCAGCTAGAGGACACCCTGGCACAAGTCCGCAAAGAATATGAGATGCTGAGGATAGAGTTTGAACAGACACTTGCTGCCAATGAACAAGCAGGTATGGAGTTTTTCTGTGGTGCTTGAAAACAAACAGCATCCCCTCCCCCATGCCTGTAGAGGCTGCATTGCAGTAAAACACCTGGTTTGACTCTTTGTCTTTTATTGTTAGAAACCTGTCAGAACGAGTATTTATCTCAAAAACTAAAGCTTTTCACATGTTTCATGGGAGATCATTTCCATGTTATCTGACTTCCTTTTAGATGCTGCAAAATACATAAATTTGGTTTATGACGGAGTATTTTGCATTATTCAAAATCACTTTGGGGGGAATTCGTTAGAAGTCTGGAATGACAACCTGAATAGGAAGCCAGTAATTTTCAAATTTCATCAGAGGAAATAAAGAAGTTATGTCTAAAGTAGCATTTAAATCTGAGATATTTTTTGTAGCATGACACATTTTCCTTAGGAGCATAGAAAAAAAAATAATATTAAGTGGGGAAATTAGGAGTGGGAATTTGCAAGCACTTATGGTTGCATGTAAAACTGCATGACATTTTTCTGCACGTATTGCTATTGTGGGGCAGAATAATAACCTTATGTTGTTCTTTGTCATTTTTACTTAGCTTGTTCTGCATCTTCATGAAAGTCCTTACAGAAAATTGGCAAAGTGTGGTTTGTTACAGTTTTGTTTCTGTTTTTGTAGGCCCAATTAATAGAGAGATGCGTCATCTCATCAGCAGCCTTCAAAATCACAACCACCAGCTGAAGGGAGAGGTTTTAAGATACAAGCGGAAACTGAGAGAGGCCCAATCTGACTTGAGCAAGGTATCAGAGCAGGAAATCATAGAATCATAGAATGGTTAGGG